ATATTTTTAAACTTAACTTATTTGCATCGTGAGATTAGTCAATACAAAACTGAAAACAATTTTTTTTAACAAATATAACAGTTACTCACAGATGTATCTCTTCCTTTAACATGTTCTATGACAGCTCTCCTACTTATTTATAAAATAAGCATGTCATTCTCTTTAAAAAGTGTTTAGGAAATTCATGTTTGAGTTGTTACTCTCCTCAAGCTTTTGTAACAGAAACTGGAAAATACTTAATATACCACTAAGCTGCTTTCTAGCACCTATATTAATATTTTTTCTAACTTTTCAAATTTAAAAAGTATCTCAATTCAAAAATGAACCCTCCTGTTTACACTCTTCAAAACTAATAATAATAATAAAGCAGTTAAATCATATATATCTTACACATTTTCTAGAAAGTTTAAATTCAGTCAAAAGTCTTTAATCCGAACTCGTCGGGACTTCGACGATTCCGGATTATATCATAGTTAATCGGTAGGGGATGCATTCAAAAAGTATAAAATTAAAAATATGTACCGTAATTTTGAAATAAACGCACTTATAATCTAATGGGCATCAAAATTACAAAAAAAAAAAGCTTAAATTATTTGTTCACTTTATTAAACATTTCTTTCACGCGCACATGCGTACAGCACACATGACGCATAGTCGAAATTAGGGGAAAAAGGAAGAAACTATCATGTGTCCTCGTTATATTATAATGACGAGGAATTTATTTAATCATATCAAGACGGAATACACGAGATGAATGTGCACTTTAGTAAGAATTAAGCTGACTAAAATAAAAACCGCCCTGAGAAAGGATGTGCTGACAGATCAACTTCCAGTTATGGCGCCCTCTACGCCCCCTTTCTTCAGAGCGCAGCGTGAAATTGAAAACATTTCAGAATGGTTCGAGAACAAAAGGGAATGCTTACCATTTGTGCAGCAATTCCACTGTTGTTGATGAAAATCGAAACATACTTCGCTTTGTAGATCCTTTATAGGATATATACGGAAAAAATATATATCGGAATAATCGGAAAATCTAAATTGAAAATAACAAGCTTCTTTTATAAAATTGCTCTAACAGTCTGCAAAAATAATAGCCGGATAATTAGAAGATTAAAAACGCAATCTGCACCATTAACTGAAATAGATAATTAGATAATTTTAGCTTAGCTTATACCGTCCATCATACGTTAAATGCACATGCGTAAACGCATATTCGCATGCATTAAGATATTACACGTAATTCATTTACGCATGCGCAGAAAGTTTGTGGCTTTGAGGTCCAGATTATGGACATCCGGATTAAAGACTTCTCACTCTATAGGTATAGTTCCAAATTTTTTGAAATAATAATTAAAAATTCATGAAATTTGAAATGCTCCAAAGATGAAATCAAAATGACTCAAGACTCCAAGATGACTCAAAATATGAAAAATTCTAACATCTGTTGATAATAAAAAGATATTCAAATTACAATTCATCAGTTTATTTCGGAAAAATTTATACTTCAAATGTTAAATAATACCTATACTGCTATTAATAGTACAAAATTCTTTTGCAATTAGTACTTTAAGCTATAATTTAGTTTTTAAATCTTCTTGTAAGGCACAAAGGTAGGATATTCCCTTGATATGTGGTTTAAAAGTGATTCTAATTATTCATTTAATGCTGCTACTAGGACAAGTTTTTGGAAAAAAATTAGATAAGCTTGAATAGAAAAGAATAACAGTTCCTAGTTCTTTCATTTAAATGATATTTCATATTAATTCTCAAGGAGAAAATGCTTCCTAAAATAGCCTATATATATAAATATATGAGAGTGCGTGTGTGTGTATATATACACACACACGTATATATATACACACACACATCAGCCATATTTCTGAAAACATAATACTGACATATTTCCTGAACAAAAATGTAATCATTTTATCTTCTAAATTCAAAGCTTTGAAATGCTGTATAAATTAACTTCCACAAATATTTTACACATTTCATATTTTAAGTTTAAAACAAATTGTAGTTATAAAACAGGAACAATACTTTAGTAGAAATTCTATATTACATATTAAGTCTCTCTCTCTCTCTTTTTTTTTTTTTTTTTTTTTAAATCAGGCCTTTTACTATGACACTTAGCTTATATAAAGTGCAAGATCTTTAATACAAAATATTATACTGTGCATAAAGGAGAAGACTAATGTTACAGATAATACCATTAAAATTATTGCTTATGGTTATTTTACACCAGATCTATGGAATGGTTATCCCTCTCCTAAAAGTATGAGATACTTCCTGTTTTATGCTTGTTTCAGAAATACTTCCATACCATTAAAGTATTTCTTTTTCATATTATTACATTTTCTATACTTCATCAGTTTAACTTTGTACATTTGTGAAGATATTTTCTAACAATATCTGAAATATAGCACATACAAATTAATTTTGGATATTAGGAAAAATTCAATCATATCTGAAATTAAGAGTACCTACCACTATTACTCGCATAAGGTACAAAAAGAATAATAAGAAAATGGAAAATTTCTTTATTTCATAAAGTTTATTGAAAATATATTTGACATCATCAGTATAAACCATCTTTAGCTCAAAGAATGACAAATAAATTAATATAAGATACAAATTTTCAATGACATTTTCATAAAAAATAAATAATTCAAGAACAAATGCAAGTAATAAATCAATTTATGTAATTGAATAAAAGTCTGACAAACCATAAATCCACAAGAGTAAACATCAAAATGCACTTTGATAAGTAAAATATTAATTTAAAAAATAAATCCTGTGTATCACAACATGAAACATAAATATATAATTATCTCCATAAATAAAAAGAAAACAAATCATAACATTCTAAAACACAAGTAAATCAAATAAAAGTATAGGAACAAAAAACTAATGAGGTATTCATTTCAAAGAATTTAAACTTGCATGTTTCAACATTTCTTATGTGTAGCAACATTTCACATAAGAAATTTTTAAAAAATTGAATAGCTGTACTTCAACATATGTTTTGTTAATTTTCTATCACTTGTTTCAAATATTAAAATAGTTAGTTTCTGCATTCAGTAGAAAATGTATAACAAATGAGAAATTTCAAATGAAGCTAATTTTTTTTTTTTAACTATAATTTTCATGAAAGAGTGAAGATTTTTTCCTGGGTTTTTATTTTTATTGCTTTACACTAGTAATTAAAATTAAAACTATGTAGAAGTAAATAAGAAGGTAATAATTTTAAGATGAATAAAAATAACACGTATTTACAATTAACACTAACAAATAATGAAAAAAACATTGTTTTGTATACATAAATTAAATATGATTTTATAAAATTCATCTTTTAATATTCAATGTTGCATTTATAAATAAAATCACATACTACTAGGTATAAGCTACAACTTTTCTAAAAATTCAAACAGAAATTATTATTATTTCAACTACTCCTAAGTATACACTACATTAAAAACAAAGTTAAAATTTTCAAAAACCATCTATGAAATTCCAAATAGTTTACATGTAAGAGCCAAATAAGTATTTGGCACTAAAGAGAAATTATGCTAAATATGAATAAAAGAGAACATTAAATCTGAACACCTTGAAATACAACTGCAGCATCACATTTTAAAAAATACTGCAAAAATGTACTTTGTTCTTTCATGAATTTAAAAAAAAAAAAAAAAAAAAAACCAACTTTCATAAAAAGTCTTTAGGCTTTTTTACAAATACAATTTGAAAATTTTGGTAGACTGAAAAAAATAATAATAATTGCATTTCTTCAACAATGAATAAATAAATAAAATAATTTCCAGAGATTTATCACAATTTAAAAAAATATATATATCATTGAGCTTTTAACTTTACATAAGTACTCATTAAAGAACGAATGTTTATTATACATACTCATATTTAAACAGATATCACCAAAGAATGTTAATCAAATATAACAGCACAGATGGTATCAGAATAAAGTATGTTTGATGAAAGAAATATTTTTGTTTTATTCGATGTTCTTGTACACATCAAAATGGAATTTTGAAAAATCTCATTTATCTAGCACAACAGATTTATGTACAATATCAAATGAATACTGAACAATGGCATTGTTTCAAAATACAAACTGTATTGTAAATTGGAATGTTAAAGCATATGACTATTTAATACAAAAACACTGACAAACAATGCACAAATCATTTATAAAACATGCACCAATGTTTGGCAAACCAGTTGCCTTAACATATACTATATTTACAAAGTTTTATCTAAAATCCATCAAACATAATACAGTGTCAAAATACATCACTGGGAATACTTTTGAGCACATTTCAAATGCTGAGATGATAGATCACAACATAGAAAGGCATAATATTTTTTTCAAATCAGCTATATTTTTAACATTATTCACAAGCGAATCCTTCCAAAAACATTATTATTAGCTTCTTCTTCTTTTTTAGCTTCTGGACATGGCATAAGTTTTGAGGGAACACGAGGAATGCGATCAGTCATTCTCTCTTGGGGAACTGGAGGTGGGGGTGGGAGGTTATGCTCACGGCGGTACGCTTCCCAACGAGCATCATCTGACTCATGTGTCAAGTAACGCCAACCAACCTGAGCTTCTAGCTCTCGGAGATCACACCAAGTTTGATAATCCTAGGAACAAAAGAGTTATATTATAATTCTGTTGAAAAAAAGCTCTAAAATCTATGACTAACAGTGCATTAAGGACATTTTAAGAAACAGCATAGTTCAACTCATTAAGAAATAAACACATGGATTAATCATGTTGTATGGCACTTATCCTGAACAAAAAGTGCATATTATGAAGGCTTTAAAAGGGTAATGATTTTAAAATATTAATTTTGGTTTTTAATGTTCTTGTTTAACTTGAAGAAAAGAATCTATATTTATAATGATTTTATCTACATGCACAATCTTAGTTTAATCAATTCTATACAAATATGAAAAAAATAATTTTCCTCTTTTAAAATCAGTTTTCCCAAATAATTTCGAAGTTCTTCCCTTATAGGATGATATGCAGACAAAAATTTACATAAAATAATAAAAAATTGAATATTAGTTGTATTTTTAACCATCCAACTTCATTTCAAAACATATCTTCATTATACATTTTGACAGCCGATATTTCAAAGCTTATTTGTAAAAACTTTTCTTGGATTCAGTGCAACTTCCTTTTTTTTTTTTTTTTCTCCTGGGGGGGGGGTAATCCCCCATCAAATATAAAAAATCAAAAGAAGTATTTTCAACATGTTTTGTTTGCCTTTTTATTACTTAAAAGTAAGAATGCCATTCAAGCAAGAAGATAAACTTCATGACACGTACGAAAAAGGGTCAATAGAAAACCACTGTCAAAACTGGCATGCAAAATTTCATTCTGGCAAATTCAATATATAAGATGCATCACATTCTGAAAGACCAGCTAAGTTGATGAAAGCAAAATATCAGTATTGATTGAAGCAAAGCGGCAAATAACAACAAAAGAAATCATTAAAGCCATTACATTTGTCAAATTCAGCTACTTATAATCACATGAAATGGCTTGGTTTCATTTCAAAGCTTAGTGCAGGGTTCTACATTTCTTAAAGAAAGAGATTGCCCTGCCACACTTCCATCTGCTACTGGCTTCTCAAACAAGAAAATTTTGTTTGAAGTGACAAACTTGTTTTGAAGTGAATCATAACTGGTGATCAATCAGAAATGTATTGTTTACGACGAAAAAAAAAAAAAAAAAAAAAAGGAAGTTATCATGAAGCAGGAAAAATGAAACTGGTCAAAACACTTCAAAAGCTGATATTGATTTTTTAAAAAAAAATGAAGTTAAACAAAATCTGAAAGGGTTCAGATTTTAATGATCACCAAAAAGGTTTCTTTTAAAGTTTAATATGGCTTACCAGTAGAGATCACTTTAATTATTACATGCTTACATTATTTGATTAATAGACATGGCCAGGTGGAAGAGTGAAACATTTCTTAGGATGTTAGATGAATATGCACTTAGTCTAACATGGAAACACTATATCTTCTGCATATTTAATAAATCAAAAAATATGTAATCTAATTCTGTAAAAATATTTCATGTTTTTAATTAGATATATGATGAATTAGATGTATTTTTATATAAATCAATCAGATTAAAAAGTAAAAAAATAACATTAATCACTGCATCTACTGCTTTTAAATAACTTCTTTGTTAATTAATAACAGACAGGTTAAATGTAAAAGAATAATATCTTAACATTTTTTCAAATGGCAACGGATTTGAATGAAAAGTGAAAAAAACATATTAAAGTGAAGCAACACAAAATTGTGTTTCAAGACCTTTTAGGCTAAAAAGCTATCTGGTGGGTTTTATTAATTTTTTATCTAACTTCACTAGTAAATTCCACAATTGATTCAAAAGGGTACTACAATCAACTGAACAATTCAGTGATACAATCACACAAAAAAGGCCAGAATTGACCAGCAGTAATGTTTCACCATGATAACACCAAATCTCACATAAGTTTGACAACTCATCAGAAGCTGTAAGCTTGGATGTGATGTGCTACCATGAGCACCATATTTGCCAGATCTGGAACTCTTGGATTATTACTCATACAGAGCTTTACAAAAATTTTTAAGTAGTTTTTAGTTCAAATGAAGATGTCAAAAATTACTTGAAGTGTTTATTTTTGGGGGGGGGGGTAAATAATGATTGAAGCTTTTATAAGTGTGCAGTCACACTATTATGAGAAAGACGGCAAAAGTTATTGAGTCAAAATTAGACAATATATAATTCAATAAAATATTTATATATTATAAAAAATTTGTCTCTTTTCCCACCAAAAGGTAAAAAAATTACTTCTTCAGGAACCCAAGAAGCACTAAAACACATCTGCACAAAAAAAATTGAAAGTAAATTAAAAAATCTGATGTGGACATCACATGATTTCCTTAAATTTAACCCATTTTTTGCTGCATTTCATTTCAACTTATTTCCTCGAATTTCATTAGAGATATATTTCTCATTCAATTAATTAAGTTCTCACTTCGTGGCAAGGCAAAAAAAACACATAAAAATTCAAAACATCTTCATTAAAAATTGAAACATACAGAAAAACATAAAACCCCAAATACAATTCAAACAGTTCAAAAAAAAAAACATTTTTTACTATTAAAATTAGAATTTCTACACAGAAACAAGTAATTCAGTCAACGGGCAAGAAGGCAGATTTTCCAGTGTACAAAACTGAAAGTTTACTTTAGGTTCCACTTGGCAAAAAGACACTAAAGGTGCAGAAACTGACCTAATTCATTTACGCACGCACGTTTAATGTATAACGGACGGTATAAGCTATAATTATCTAATTATCTATTTCAGTTAATGTTTCAGATTGCGTTGTTCCTGAATCTTCGAATTGGATTCGGCTTATTATTTTTTGCAGACTGTTAGAGCAATTTTATAAAAGTAAGCTTGAACTTTCGATTATGTCAAATAGATTTTCTGATATATGTAAATCGACTAATATGTAAAGGATCTACAAAGCGAAAGTATGCTTCGATGTCCATCAAACAAAAAAGTAGGAATTGCTGCAAAAATGGATAAAGGCATATCTTTTTGTTTCTCTAATCATTCCGAAATCTGTTTATGAATTCCTTGCTGCTCTTGCAAGTGGGGGTAGGGGAACGTTGCAGAGCACAACGAACTGGAAGTTGATCTCTCAGCACTAATCCTTATCTTCAGGGCGGATTTTTTTATTTTATTCAGCTTATAATTCCTTACTAAATGTAGCATTTCATCTCGATGCATTCCGTCTTTGATATGATTTAAATCAAATTCCTCGTCATTATAAATATCATGAGCACACATCGAATAGTTTTCTGGTTGCAATTTTCTAATTTCGACTACGCATAATGTATGCTTTATGCATTCGCACATTGAAAGAAATGTTTAATAAAGTAAACTAATAAATATCAAGCTTTTTTTTTTGTAAATTTTGATACCCTTTAGATCATAATTGTTCTTTATTTCATAAATTATGGTTTCATATTTTTTTAATTGTATAATTTCTGCATGCTATCTTAACCAGATTTAAACTGATGATCTATAATCCGGAAAAATCGATAATCTGGAATCGCTGAAGTCCCAACGAGTCCGGATTAACGACTTTTGACTGTACTTAAGCAACTTTTAAATTGTTGATAATTCTACAACTATTGCATGCAGATTAACTAAAGGCATAAAAACCTTAACTGGAACAGAAGAAAAACATAATTCAATGACTTTTAAAGCAAAAAATGCACAATTTGACAACACATAATAAAATAAACTGAGCTCACCGAGCTGAGAAAAAGAGTGAGTATATAAATGCGGCCTTTTGGTGCGGCCAATTTCAACCAAAAAGGGAGATGCACAATTACAAGTTATAGCAATCTCACATACAATTTTCAACATTCTAAGGCTACTTATTTTTGAGTTATGCAAGATACGTACATATCTACAGACATCACAAAAACAATCTCTTCTGAATTCATTTTAAACGCCTTTTTCAATTCGTTTTGGGAAAATGAGACCTTTATTCTGTCCTTACATACAGATGTCATGCAAAAACATCATTCAGATGGATTTCAGAGCAGTCAAAATGGATATTTTCACTGAAATATGACACCCAAAATGTTTCATGACTGCTATACCTCCTTTATTTCATACAAGGAAGTAAAAAAGTTTAATTCTTCGAAATTCTATTTTTTTATTTTAATTTTAAATTTACTTACAGAACATGTAAGTAAATTTTTAGGGATTTCAAAAGATAAAAATCATCATCTGCATTTTTAAAAACTGTCATATAACTAGTAAAGTACTATAAATGCAGTCCAAATCACTATACGAACTAGTTCAAAAATATCATATATGCGAATGTCTTACTTGCAACCATGCATGAGAGAGTGATTTATCTACAGTAAACCTCTTTCTGGTCTTTACTTGAAGCAGATTATTGATTAAATCTATTGCTGAAAAGATAAAATGCACATATTAGTACCCAGAAATTTAACTAATATAAGTTTTATAAAACAGGTTCCAGTTTTGCACTTTTATATGCTATTTGGTAAAATTTTATTTACTTGATAGATTTTGTAAAATATATGCGAGTTTAAATATTTTATAAATGATGATTTTAAAGCTCTCTCCTTAACAAGCTTACATAAAATTGATAACTGATCATGACAATTAACCATTCATTTTATTAAGCAGCTTATTACATTGCTGGAGAAAGAAATCTTAGAGCTCCTATGTTTAATACATGAATTCTTTATTTTATGTATTCACGGGATCTACATCTTATTACAAAGACACAAATATGTGAAAAAGATAACATCATGATGAGAAAAGAGGAAATTAGGTTGATATCTATTTAATTTTAAATGACAAGATGAAGAGGAGATTTTAGTTTATTGGTTATTTATGTAATTTCCACAAAGCAGCCTATCACTAAATCAATATCATTAGTTAAGAAAGGAGACTCTTTTATAGTAAGATCCTGTTCTACCTAAACTTTGACTAAAACAAATTCTTTAATAAATTTATAATTCTCTATGAATGTAACTGAAAATCTGTATGGGATCAATTAACAGTGATCCCATTAAATTTTGAAGTTTTCTATAAATTCAAACTCTGAGTGCTGTATTATAGCCACATGTCTGAGCTTCACTCATCTCAGGACAAATTCATTTAATTCATTTCAACTTTCATTCAGTGGTGGAGAGGTTGCACTGCTGGCACCACTGGAATACAGAGAAGAACCATTCTACTGAGATTTCAGATCCATTTTATTCAATCCATCTGCTGAAATTCATGGAATTTCCAAATGTAAAAAATAGGTACATTTAACTCTAAGGAGTTACCACTAAACACAAAAAGCAAATGGAAGTTCCTGTGGACATTTCCTTCACTGATCAGCATTCTTATTTGCACTGTTAATTGATCACCCCATCACCACCACAGGTATTCTTGTCACTCTTGTCAAAAGAATTTGTCTTATACTTCCATATATTTAACTGAAATCATTTGACCTTATGTTTCATTCTGTTTAAAATCTTATTTTCTAATCTCAATTCACAATCTTAATTCACTTTTTAAAGAATGACAAATCTTTTGTTTTTCTCAATTTTAAAATAATATCTTTGTTTTCTAATAAGGACAAGCCAGTTAAAAATTGTGGTCAACACCTTCAGCATTGATGGCTGTCAGTGAGAAAAAGAATAGATGTTTATTTCACTTAAATTTGTAATCTTAAATTTGATAATTTTATAACTTTTATAGCTTCTTTTCAAATATATTTAACTAGTGCAGAATTTCATCATTTAAATCATCATTTTTGTTTGTTTTCTGGCAAGAAAACAAATATAATTTTTTACTTAAACTGCCAAAAGATGAGGTATTTGTATTTCAAAGCTCATAATATCTGATAAAAAATCCTTTTTCTTAATTCAATGCATTTTTAGTTCCTGTTTTCTAAATGACAACTCAATTTACAATTGTTTAATTCTTAAAAAAAAAAAAAAAAAATTATGTGCTTTTTTTAAATCAGCTTTAATGATGAAATCTCAAATACTAAAATTTTTAAAGCATTATTCTGTAGTACTATTTCAAGATAAGACATATTTACATTAAACCGACATAGAGTAAAGCAGCATCGCTTTTATTAAAATTCGAGAAAATTTAATATTTCCACATTATTTAGTTTAACAAATATTTAAAAATGTTTTTAGGTGCATTTAAAAAAAATCAGGCCACCATAGAGGTACCTTGCAATGTTACTGAAAATATTATTATAAAAGACTTGTTGAAGCATGCTTCCTTTCTGGAAAAGTATGATAAACAAAAAGGAAAATTAGTTTCAACAGAAGGAAGCTAGGAAACAATTAACAGAATAAAAAAATTTGTGTATTATCTTGTATGAAAATACTATAATTAAAGTTATTGATTATTCAGTTTGTTTAATAACTCTCATGAAGACTTGGATTGCTGGAGGATATTTAGCTTAAGCAAATATTGTATCCTATGCATTGCATTACTGAATATGAAAATAGTTTATTAAATTTGAATGCTTGAATTCTAGAAGAGAAATTTATCATATGAATATGGAAATAAATTTCATTACATTTCCTCTAATACTTTAAAATTTTATAAAAGTATAAGTTTATATATTTTGGAAATTTAATGCATTCCTATCAGCTGAATTAAATGAAAAGTAAATTGAAAACCTTTTGCAATAAATGCTTCAAATTTTAAATAATAACAATAATTATATTTTAACTGAAAACTGCTTGTTAAGATCCTTGTCTGTTGACTGGAGTCATACTGAATTAATTTTATAAATCAAATTTATGACAAAATAATGAATTTAACAAAGCTATATCATCATTTTATTTTTTATTAACTTCCAAAACAAGTCTTCTCAAATTGTAAAATTTTATGGTCAGAAGTAATTTTTTCAAAGAACTGCTTAGTACAGCTAAATTGCTTGCAAACAGAACACAGGAAAAAATATTTATTATTTTTTAAATTTGTATACATTTAAATCTAAATTTTAAAATTAATTTTAATAATAAGAAATATCCAAACATTCACTTTAAATTTCCATCATCATGATACTTTTAGGATGTTACAATGACTAAAACTCTAGATAACAGTAGTCTCATATAAAGGTTAAATAAAGTTATTAAATTGGATCATCAGAGCTTTATAATGTTGAAAGAAAAAAAAATTTTAATTTACTGCAGAAAAAGTACTGAGTGAGTGAAAAAAAGTACTGAGTAATGTGACAAAATATTAGAATATGAATTTAGATGCATATATAAAGCATGCCAAATATCTGTAAATGTAACATTTCAAGCTCAAGTCTTCAAACAGGCAATGTTTTTTCGAGAAAATTGCAGTGTTCTCTTACATTAAAGAAATGTAAATTATTATGTGAATTCACAATTTGGAAACTAAGTTTCTGGCACATTAGATGCAAGTATTACAAACACAAATATTTCAAACACTGTTGTTCCTTAGAGTCTGTACACAGAGACAGGATTCAGAACATTCTAGTTAGACGCAATTCAAAATGTTCTAGTTTGAATGAGTTCTAGTTGAATGTTCCAGTTTGAATTCAGAATGTTCTTTGCATGTTATACAGAAGTGTTAATAGTACAAGCACTTGACATGCTATTGCCCGTTATAAACCTGTAATCTGTAGATGACATTCAGAACATTCTGCCCAAACATTAAAAGAACATTCTGTTAATACGTTACAACATTCTATGAAAGTTACATAAAATTGCTACTTGTATCACAGTTACTAGAAGTTTGACATTTTATTGTCCAATAATGAACTACATCCTACAGATGTAATTCTGAGCGTTTTGCCTGAACTTTAAAGAAACGTTCTGTTAGAAGGTTACCAGAACTTCCATGGAATGTTCTAGGACCATTTTACAAAAGTGGTAGTAACGACTACTGAACTGTAACATTTTGACGTGATTCACCGCATTCTGCCAGAATGTTAAAGAAATGCTCTGTTAGAACATTCATAGAATGTTATAAAAAAGTGTTAGTAGGAACTGCTTTTGATGTGCTACTGTCCGTTATTGAACTGCAATACACAGTCATGGTTCAGAATGCTCAGATAAAACATGCCAAAAACAATATACTAGAATGTTAATGACACATTGCATGAAAGTGTTACATATACAAGTATTTGACATGTTATTGTCCATCTTAAAACTGTAACATAAAGTTCTGCTTGAACGTTCCCGACACATTTGTGAAGCAATTGCACTCAACATTCTCTGAAAGTTCTTGTGCTGGGCAGCAACTTATGTGAAGCCATAACAATTCCATAACATAAGTAATTTCAAGCTTACATTCAAACAAATTTACAATTACAATTCAAACCAAAACTGGGATAATCAAATGTGACAGATGAATGCCATTTTTTACCTCGCCGAAAACGTTCAACAGTGCTGCTTTAATAATGAAGACACTTTCACTAGTTGGAGTGTTTTCTGAAATATTCTGAAAAACATGTTTTGCAATGCAGCTCATGTACAGTGCTAAGCTGAAAGACTGCTACTCACACATGTGCAGCAAATCGATAAGAGGTCTGATAAGAGGTTTTTCGCAAAGAGTAAGTACATTCAAGATGTACTTACTCTTTGCGAAAAAGCAAACCCCATCATGCTCGAAGATTAGAAAGTGGCCCAACTTGTAAAACGCACTGGCGAAGACTTGTACCAGGTCCTGTCATTTCAGGAGTATGACACAGTTAATGCTTTCATGAAATGCTGCTATCACATAGAGAACCTTTGACGAAGATGTATCACCAAACCACAAATTCGAAGGCTACCTAATCTTGCCACAATATTGGCCGGTGCAGACATTAATGACTTAAGGTCTATAGAGTGTGCCATCATCAGGGAAGAGCTTCAGAAGGTTCAGGGTTATATAGACGACGAACCTGAGCCAATGAATGACTGGGAGAAAATTATGGAGACTCTAGCACCACTCATAGATACAGGAAGAAGCAAAACCACTCTCCAAAGCTCCATTCCAGTTAGGCCACAGCCAAGCCAGCAAGAGAGCTGCTTCACAGGGCAGACCTGTCAAAGACTGACAATAATATGCCCTTCTGCTATCACTGCAGAAGCCCAGGTTACAATCTGAGGTACTGTATTGAGAGATGTCAAATATTTTAAAAAACTGCTAGGATATACAACCCTCAATGGAATATGAAAACCAACTCCCTATACAGCTTCGATGATAAGTATGAATGAGCAGTTCACCTTATCTGCGGTGCTCTCACAATTACTGACAGTCACAGTTACCAGTACACTGCTCCTGCCGTTCCTCATGCCAACTCAATGACGAAAATTATTTCAAGCGACCTGTGCAGGAAGTGAAGCCACAATAGAAGAAAATTCTCTGACATGTAACACAGCTAAGTTAAAAAAGAATGCCACCTTTATCACCATTAATGGACAGTGTGTAATAGCCCTTGTTGATTCTCAACTGGAATCAACAAAAATCTTGATTATTCAGTCAAATCCGAAGAATTACACCAATAGAATGCTCTGAGAATGAACCTATACTGTGAACTGGTAAATCTGTACCTGTCTTGGGACACTGTATATTAAAAGTTGACTTGAGTGGAACTAAAAGGCCATTTGAATTCCTCCTGTTTCTGCAATGTAGCCATTAAATGCTACTTGAATAGAACTTTTTTCATGCCACCGATGCCATTATTGATAGCGGAATTCAAGAACTTCACCTTTCAGAAAATTTCCAGACAATCAAGGTTTAAATAAATCAGAATAATCATTGTTTGCTGCAATAGATTACTTAAGGAAATTTGGCAAGACAAATATGTGCCCTTGAATCCAGAAGTGTGGGATGCAGATGAAGCTGTGATTGTTGTGAGCAGACTTCTGATGTGTGAAAGACAGCTTTGATATCTTCAATCACCATCACTGAAGATGGTTGTGGTAAAGTATGGAAGATGAAGTAAAGTAAGTGTTCTTGATGAACCCTACTGACACCAAAAGGGATGAACTTAGGCTTTTGCTCCCGGAGTGGTCAGACTTGAGATGGTTCAAAGAGACTCAAACCCCCTTCATAAGAGCAGATTCGACCGGCGGGGAAAACCGGTTCTTCCAACGTGTCCCATTCACATGGCAAACAAGCATTAACTGCTTCTCCGAATTGGAGGTAGAATTTACTAGAATACTCCTACCTCTCAGGAGCAGAGCAAATGGGGGGATTTTCCATACTATACTGAGCGTTTGCATGGTTCACTTAATTTTAGTTACTGCTTGCTGGACTGTCAGCGAAACAATCGCACTGATAGATGTCTGGGGATGTGATAGCATTCCCCAAAAAATTAGATAGAACTGTACAAGATACGGAAATCATAGACAAATACAGACAATTTTATCTGATACTGGGTATTCCAGAAATATCGTTCAAATTAAAACTAAAGTTAAGACAAGTGCATATCGGCTTCAACACGACAAGGGACTCGGTACCTTTTGAATGATTTTTTTTTTCATTTAAGCATTTTCATCTACTTTTTATGAATATTACTAAATGGTTTTGTGAGACAAAATAATTTTAAGCTGAAAAAAAGTTTTTGCTAGTAATTTTTTAAAATTTAAATTTTTGAAGAAAAATCTCACAATAAAAATGTCTTTCTTCTCCTACAATTTTCAATGACTCCCCCCAGTTTTTTTATTGTATTTATTACACTGTTCTTAGTAACTTAAAGGAATGATTTTACAATTAATAAATTAGTTTCTGAGAAAAAATAAAAATACACTTTTATCTAAAATCTTTAAAACAAATATGATCACAGTCACATTTTCATTTTTTTTTTTTTTTTTTTTTTTTTTTTTTTAGTATTTTGCAAAACTTATCCTTGTTTCTATAAAGTATACAATTTTAAATACGCAGTAAAAATAATAAATAATTCAGTCAATACCTGTATATGTTTTAGGACTTTAAGTAAGAGGATTTTTTGAAAAAATGCAAAAGGTTTCTCAGTTTGCATTTGCAGTTTAAAGAATACAAACTGTCTAAATAGACACTGAATCATTTCAAATTTATTTAAAATTTTATTACTGAATTTCAGTACACACACACATATATATATATATATATATATATATCAAACCTAGTGCTATTTATTCAATTGGTAAATATAAAAATAAATTACAAACCTTTTTTAAAACCTTATCTGGCAGAAAAATTGCAAAAACATCATAAAATGCAAACAGAATTTTTCTTTACCTGTTTTTGTTTTGTAAAACACATTCAAAACAAGTTTAATACGTTAATTAGTTATAATATTGTTGCATGCGTACGGGTTCGTAATAGACTGATAATAGTTTGTAAATGATTATCATTGCACTCAAATACGATGATAGCTTAATTAATTTATTTTATCAACAGAAACACATCAAAGTTCTGGAATTTTCCACAGAAATACTCATACAAGTGTTTAGAATATCATAATCAGTAGTTACACTTCAATCTAATAAGAACATTAAACGCAATGCAATGCAAAACGTTCCTTAAGAGAAAGTTAACTCGGAAATATCTCCGATCTCACGCTGAACTAACAACTGGCAACAATAACAACTTATATATATAAATAATGTCATAAATATAGTGTGGTATAATGAGATTATTACTTTGAAACCGATCTTTCAAATTGATGCCCAATATTTCCCATTCTTCTTCATTGCATATCTTTTAAAAAAGTAAAAAAATCATCCAATTAATTTTTTTGAGCTCCTATTACACCCAATTTAACAGAAATTTCACTGATATCACAAAACTCCTGCACGACTTTTTGAAAAAAGATGCAAAATTTTCCTGGAACACATCACAGAAGGGAACTTTTGCAATACTCAGAAAGTTACTGATCAGTGCTTGTTATTTCACAGTAATGTTCTGAGAACTCTTCATGATGCTCCAACCACCAGTCATCTCGGATTTGCTGAAACATACAACCAAGTATATAACACACAATGGTATGTATCCCACTGTCGAGAATACTAAAGATGGAAATCAGCACCACAACTTCCACCAGGACAGCTTCATCCTATACAATGGGAAACTGGGATACCATCCTACCATATGTGACTTTATTTTAGCTAAACAAGATACAATTTAGAAAAACAATCAGCAAATATAATTTAGTAATAATTTAATTTAGCAAAACAAGAGACAACGGGATTCAGGCCATTCTTTTTTGTTCATGGTAGAAAATCCAGACTCCTCTCGACATAACTTTACCATCCAATGCCGAGGATCCTGACGACTGATCACCAGAACTGAAGAAGCTAGACAGCTTGTAAAACTCTACATCCTCAAAGCACAAGCCATAGACAACTACTGATATGACGAGAGGCATCGACCTGTCAGCTACAATATCGGAGACTTATATTGCAGTCTGGGTCTTCACTCCAGGACAAAAGGCAAGGTTAGCAGAAAAACTCCTTAGATGCTAACAGTATTAAATAACATGGCAACTATCAGATTTAATGTACAAAGTACGGAACAAATCAGGAGATGACTGAGTTGAAAAGACATCGTTCATGTATTAAGATTGAAACCTTGATACAAAAAGACGATTACACAATGGGAGAATGCCCAGTATTTCCAGGAAATCTGTTATAAGAAGGCAGACCAGAGGGCAGTGAAGGGGGAAATGTAGCAAAAATGATTCCTTTCGAATGAGCACACTGAGGCTCGGTAAGGTGTCAGGTTTCAGGTGTCAGGTTCAAAATCCATCAAAGGCAAGTCACCTAAAATAAATTTTTGTTTAAATTTCTTTCTTTTTAATTAATTTCCCTTTATGTCCCACTTAATGGAAAAATTTCTCCACTTTCTAAAACTTCCAAGTCTAGAATATTCTGCCTCATTAATGAAGTGTATATACACAGTAAATTATTCAGCTTGAGTCGAGAAGTACTTTCCTCTTCATTTGTACGATCACTTCATCTACACAAAAATGTATTAAATACTGGAAACACTAATAATAAAACTAATTGATTTTTTGGTTACTAATCATACTGTTTTTAGATTTCATAAGAAAATATTTGATTTCTTGAAATCAAAGTCTACTAATAGACATATAATAACTTTCAGTACTTATATCAGGAAACTGAAAACATCTCTACAATTATTAAAATTTAAAACAATAAAATTCCATACCATCAGACGATATATCTTTCCATGGACAAGGAGGGTACATAAATGCAGCATTCTGAATTTGATCATTAATGTCTTCATCTTCATTAAATGGAAATGTTCCACTTAAACTGTAAAAAAGGAATAACTTCAAAAAATTTACAACATCCAAAATACCATGAATATTTCTCATGAGAACTGGATATAATTGAAAATTCGAAATCATAGCAAAATCTAGATTCTACACAATGTGTATAGGAAAGCAGCATATCAGCAGATTCATGTGAATGTATTCAGGAAACTGTGAAAGCATTCAATGAAAAATCTAGGAAATGTACAAATATTGATTAATTTTTGTTCTAAATAAGTACATATATTGCATACAGCCTTTGGAATTTTGTTAAAAATATAAGAAAATGTATACTTCATATTCACTTTTTTAACTACATCACAGCCTTGAGCTTTTGGTTAAATATATAATGTCTAAAGCTCATATTATTTTTTCAAATATAGAAGCACCAAGAAACCTTTATCCAAAATGCAGAGAAAATTTCAAAGTGCCTAGAGCAATGTTCCTCAAACTTTTTTAATTCATCACCCTCTTACAAAAAAAAAAAAAAAAAAAAAAAAAAAAAAAATGCTCAATGCCTCTTAGTGAATAAACATTTCTATTTGTCAATAAAATCCAAAAATACATTAAATAATTAAGATAAAATAACATGCCAACAAGTATTAATTTAGAAGTCAAACAACAAAAATCAGCATTATATTTGCAAATTTTCACAGGACTAGTTTTGATAGTTTTATCGAACCATCATCCTCAGCTGCCAAAGCAAAAATGAACGTGATAAGATATAGTGATTAGATAAGATAAGAATGGCTGAACAGGAGTTAAACTACTGGTGCCATCTATTGATGAAACGAGAACTAATTTGTAATCTCCTTAAAGGCTGAAGGCAAAGATGGATTTGAATTAGGGTCGTTTACTACAACAGAATGATTTTTTTTTTTTTTTTTTTTTTTTTTTTTTTTTTTTTTTTTTTTGTTTTTTTTTTTTTTTTTTTTTTTTTTTTTTTTTTTTTTTTTTTTTTTTTTTTTTTTTTTTTTTTTTTTTTTTTTTTTTTTTTTTTTTTTTTTTTTTAAAGGTGGAATGCCTCCAGAAAATCCAATTCACCAAAGGAAGACGTTTTCTAAATAATTTTGGCTGCAGAAAAATTGAAGATGTGATTTTCGAACCAACAATTCTAATATTTTTTGCACTGCTAAATAATTTTTGACAAATATAAGCTAATAAAATCTTTTAATTGCATATTAGTCATTGTATACACGGATTCTACTCATCACTATCATAATGTATTCATGCTAATGTTGACAACTATTTATTTAAAGCGAAGCATAAAATATAACTTTTTGTTGATAAAAGCACTTATAAAATGCTGCATAAGCACACTGTATAAATAAAAGAAAACTGATTTTTAAAATTTTTTAAACACTTTTACTGAACTTGCTTTAAAGTCATCAGCTCTTTCAATATTAAAGTGGAGGAACAACTTGCATATTGCTAAATAAACACCATTTTTTTACCTCCCACCAACTGCTATATAGTGTCCCAACCCCGATCCAATATCACTTTCATCTGCCTCCCATAGACCACTTCAGCACCACACACATTTTTCAAAACAAAATTATGGAAACTGTTTCAATATGCATCTGTGCCCCCTCCTTCACGTCTAAGATTTCTAATTCTACATTTTGATTTCATAACAATATGATACAGATATATAATGAATACTTATGAATTATTAAAAGCTTAAAAAATCAATAAATTATTTTTGCTGTTTACTGATCAAATAAAAATTTATCTGTAGATATGTTTATAAAAAAGCAACAAATATATTACCTAACGTAAATTATAACTCCTACAGACCACATATCTAATGAACGATTATAGCCTTTGTTTCTAAGAACTTCAGGAGCTAAAAATAAATGAAATTTTCTAATTAATTTCAACTACATTCTTAAATTTTCATTTATAGAAATAGCAGTGATAACATAATTAAAATATGATCACTCAATAATTTCTACCAGTTTTTAGTTTGCAATTAAGCTATGCTAAGAAAGGTAGGAAACACATAATTACTTTTATGCTAGCTAATAATTTAAATATATTATATTTGTTACCATAATATAATTTAAATCTGAAAGATAGCAGTTTTTTAGCTATTCAATAATTTAAATGATTTTCGTTTATACTGAAAATAGGTTCTAAAATAGAGATTTTTGAATTACTCACCAATAATCAAAAATCTGTACTTTAGAATCTATTTTCAGCATACAACATAATCATAATATCTAATAAATATTATTAAAATAAGTCATAATTTTCAAGTACAAAATAAAAAAGGAAATCCATAAATATTTGTATAAAAAAACACAAAAATACTAAAAAAATTCAAAAATACTTAAAATTATCTTTAATTTAAATGTTTTTGTGAGTATTCATAACTCACAAAAGTTTTTAGAGGCTATCTAAAACTAGTTTCAAAATGAAATCAATTATATACTTTTAAAATAAATGTTTTTAAACATATAAGATGCTCTCAGTATGGTTCATAACGTAAATTTCTACACTTCTTTTCAGACAACAATAGCAACAACAAAAAAAAAAACTTAAATTTTTCACATAAACAAACAAACAAAAAATAAAATAAAAAGACCCTTTCCCCAAATTGTTTTGCAATAAACAGCCAAAAATACATGATATCAAGAATTTATGTGAAATCAATATTTAAAAATTTTCAATATTCTTTTTATCAGCAACATATTTTTCTATTTATTTAATATTCCTTAAGTATGCAGTTTTTTTAGCCTTAGATATAGATCTCAGCCCTTCTCATCCTTAGATAACCTTAGATTAGCCTTTTATAAAACATAAAAGCTACTTAAATCAGAAAAATTTCACTATTTACATAACAAAAAAATGGTACTTGTGTATTATCACATCAAATGAGTAGCACAAGTAGTGTGATTAAATGCCAATTATGGTTGACCATGTCCTTTAGAATTCCACAGTAACTACTGGTGAATGGCAACAAAGATAAAATTCTTACCAATGGTCGACAAGATAATACATTAAGTACCCCAAAAAAATCATTCAAAAAGTTAAAAGTACTTGATTATTTTTGAAAATGAAACATACAACTAATGAACTGAAAATGTATACAATAACATATTTGTGCAATAAAAATATTTAAAAATTATTACAAGAATAATTAAAATGTGCATGTACAAGACCAAAGAATATTTAAGTAATTCAAACTTCATTACAAACAGACCAAGGTAAGCAGGCGTTCCAACAACTGATCTTCTGAAAGACTTTTCACCAATTATCCGAGCAAATCCAAAATCACATAATTTTACCTATTCAAATATCAAATTTTAATTTAAAAGAATTTCTAATTCAAGAATTTTATCTAGATATTAGTCATCATCAACATAAACTATTGAAAATAACTCAGTAAATTATTAATCAAATAATTCCTTAAGAAATGAAAATTTTCTAGAAAATAAATGCACTACCTGAGGGAAATCCGAATCTGATGATAAAAGCACATTTTCAGGTTTCAGATCACAATGAACTATGTTCTTAAAATGAAGATGACGTAATGCTGATAATATCTAAAAAGAAACAGAAAAGTTGTACAGAAAGAAATTCGATTTATTGTAAAATTTGTATTTTTACTTAAGTTAAACAGAAAACAAAATTTTAATAAACATACTTGAAACACTAGAAACTTTGTAATTCTCTCAGATAATCTCCTTTTCTCGCTAGATAAAATCATTTCCAGCATATCACCTTTTAATTTCTCCATCACAACAAAAATCTAGATACAAAGTACATAATTATGTTACACAGGTAAAATGGAAATTCAGTATCAATAAGAGCAGAAGTTGTATGATATTCATTTTCAAATTTAAATAATAACACTCAACTATTTCCATTTACACTGGATTGTAAACAATAAATGCAACACAAGTTTGTATCTGTATGATGAAAAAAAAATGTTAACTTTCCATTTAACTGTTTGAATTAAAACATGCAATATTTCAACATTCAATAAAAATAAGAAAAAGTTTTTGTTTAAATTCTGTAGTTAACAATTCTACATGGATATATATTACAGAATTTACACTTGAATAGCATAAGCAACAACATCCTACTATGTTAAAACTCTGCAAATAATTTCCTTCCTAAAAATGTTATCAGTACCTTCATATCAACTATATATATGTATTATTTGTGAAGCTTACTTTTTTTTTTTTTTTTTTTTTTTTTTTTTGTATATTTCCAAGTAAATACAATTTAAGACAGTCACAAATTATTAAGTGGCTTAAAATTTCTTCCCAAAATTATGGTTGTAAATTGATAAACAATGCACTGAGAGGAACTGTTCAAAAATTGCCATGAATATGATATAAAGAAATTCATAAACAAAAAAGCGATCATTATTTATATTTTTATTTATAGTCCAGTCATCCAAAGTTCAATATAGGATGCTTTCAGAAAAAAAAGAACGGAAGTTTTTTGTTCCCCCCCCCATCACCAGTTCTATGTCTTTTGAGGTACTGAATCCGAATTTGAAGTTTGCCACCTCATTACAGGTCAGCTTCACTATCGAAATGGAAATAAAACCTCAAAGTTTTTGGCACCTTTTTTTCAGTTTTTGGCATATAACTAAAAATCTAAGCATTTTTCAAAGATGATATCTCTATATTAAATTAAAGTAGACAAAATTTCCTACAAAATGCATATATTGTAAATGTTTAAACAATATGTGATGCTACTAGAATGTGCTGAGTAAGGGCCAGTTTTTGGCTCTCCATGAAAAATGTATTACTGTAAATATGTTAATTGTGATTAGCGGAATACATTTTTAGCATCAATCCTGCATGATTTCTCCCCAACTCCTTCCAAGCTCCAAACCTTCAAGAAGCCACCTCATATTATAACCATCCACCTAGTTGATGTTCAGCTGTGATCAAGCTGTAAAATATTATGAGCCTTTTTTAGTTATTATGACAGCATAATGTCGGGAGTGCATTATATTTGACAGATCATTGCATGATGGAATATAGACGGCTGTGCTGAAGCCAAAGTGGTTGACATCTTTCAATGAAACAAGTAAAAAATGAGAGGATGGAAAGGCAGTTTTGTTTACAAGGTGTACAAAAATTGAGAGCCACGAAAAATGTAGGAAGCAGTGTACTAATAAAAAATTGATTGCTGCTTTTGTTAAAGGAGTAAAAAGAGTACTAATGCGCCTACATTATGTTCACATGTGCACTGTGCCCCCCTCCAAAAGAAAAGAAAAAGAAAGAAGGAAAAAGACAGTTCTACATCATCCCTTTTGCTGGGCCAATTGACGAAAATAAAATTGCATTTTTCATGTCTCGAAAACTTGACTTTGTATTACATTTACATATAGCATTGTTCTAACACAGGTATTTTGACATAAAATCAGACTTTTTCTGAAATCACATACCATTTTTTTCCCATATTTCGATTCTACAATTCAAATTATGTGCCTAGATATTAAATTTCATAATTTTTGGTGAGAAATTTTAAAATTTATACTTCTGCATTTTTTCAGTTTGCACCAAGAATAATTCACTTGGCGAACTTCTTAATTTATAGCAATCTATTTTCCTTTTTTTCATTGTACATGAGCGGACAAAAGTCAATGTTCATATTTTCAAATATTTTTTTTTTTTTTTTTTTTTTTTTTTTTTTCCATTGTACATGATCAGACAAAGGTCAACGTTCATATTTTCAAATAATTTTAACAAAGTGAGTAAACCAAATTTGGTGTTACTATTGCTTATAACAAATATGCCAAATTTCAAAATACGTCAATATGTAAATTCATGTATATCTTAGGAAATTTTGAATAAAAAACACTAATTCTTTTGAGATATGCTTAGAAATATATCTACTTTAAGATGATGGTAAAATTTTTATAGGTTATAATTCAAAATTTTTTTCGAAACATTTATAAAAATGATTTTAAAATACAAATTTTAAAATGTGAAAGGAAGAATCAAATAAGTTTAAAAAAAAAAAAAAAAAAAAAAAAAAAAAAAAAAAGAGTGATTAATAAATATATCCCAAACTCAATTAACATTGAGAAGCTGAAATTTTGAGAGCTAATTTTTTAAAAACTACTTGTGTGATTTTTACAAAACTTGGTAGTTTGGCATAATTTGAGTTGTAGAATCGAAATATGAAAAAAAATTGGCATGTTATTTCAGAAAAAGTCTGACTTTGTGTTAAAATACTTAAATTAGAACAATGCTATATATAAATCTGATACATATCCTAAGTTGAACTTTCGAGACATGAAAAATGCAAGATGAATTTTGTCAATCGGCCAAGTAGAACGAAAGATACAGAACTGTCACTTTTTTTTTCCCCAGTCTATCTGATATATTACAGTGCTGTATAAATTTAAATTTGTGTGCTGTAAAAAAATGCCATCAGATTACTCGAAGAAACAGATAAAAAGTAACCTGATTATAAACAACTGTTAGGTTCATACTTCACTTAAAGCTTTAGTGAAAGATAACACATCCGTATTATTCTTTCCTCTAAATTGTGTGACCATCATTCAGCCTATAAATACCAGAATAATAGTGCATGCCCTGAAATGCAAATATTAAGTAGAATTTTTAAAATCCATGTTAAATTTTTTGAATAATGGCAAGACTATTCAAAACATTTTTGAAATATTTTAGCATAAAATCTGCTGTGTTGAGCGTCACAAGATCGTGGGATGCTTTTCGTTGGATCATGCTTCCAGATGCTTTCAAAAATACTTAACATAATTTATGGCCAGCTACCATATTTCATGGTAAGGAAGATGAAGATAATAAGCACGAATTTGAAGTTTTTTGGATATTGCAAACCAAAGATAAAACTTTCCAATTAATGGATTTTGTAAAGAAATGTGGAGAAGCAGTAATAAAAAAAGATGATATAACAAAAGTTTTTCATAGTCAGGACAATGCCCTAATCATTAATCAATTAATGGACATTGAAATCTGTAGTATAGTTCAAGATCCAGAAAATACTACCAGTAGTGAAGAAAAGTGAAGGAAAGATGATTGAAAATGAAAAAATTCAATTGACAAGTTAGTCAAAATTCTTGACACAGCAATTTTAGGACTTGAACGATGGACCTTTATGACTGAACAAGAAATTATATCTGTCTACAGAATTGAAGAGAATGCATTAGCATAAAAAAAGAAGCAACTTAAACAGCTTACATTGAAAGAAATGTTTAATAATGTAAAGAAATAAATATTAAGCTTTTTTTTTAATTTTGTTATTCTTTAAATCATAATTACTTCTTTTCATATTTTTAATTTTATAATTTATACATGCCATCTTACTAGATTCAAACTGATGATCTAATATCCAGAAAAACCCCAAATCCAGAATCACTTAATTCATGATGAGTCTGGATCTCAGACTTTCTATTGTAATTCCTGGTGGCTTGACAAAAATCTTACAACCATTAGATTTGTCAGTTAATAAATCCTTCAAAACTGAAGTCTGAAAGCAGTGGGGCATACGGTTTCATAATAACTGTCATCGTAATTTGGTTGCGCATAAACAGTTGAACCTCTAACATAGGGAACCGTTGGATTAGGAGTTATATTTGTTTCCATAACATATCTTGTATCAACATGAGAAGTTTCTCCCCTCAGCCTCGTTGTGTAATAGGTATAAGTCGTTCGATGAGTAATGTAAGGATCAGATTCCGGTCAATTATAAGTATTATACGGCACAGTTCTATCAATATAGCGTGTTGCGACTCTGGTAGGTACAATTTTACTCACAGTGTGTCTTTGTGTTGCAACAGGTCTAAGTAGGAATGTGGATGACTGAAGGATTACACACATATACCAAAAGCGGCAAAATGCATAGAACAAAGCATAAAGACGTAAAAAAGTGGGTACAATGTAAGTGGAAATTGGTGACAACATCATCAATATCAGCAGGGTTCAAAGTAGCTAAAATAACATCCTCAGATAAGGAGACTGAAAACTGAGAGGATAAATGTGGCGATCTGGAAGATTTGGACTATTTAGATCGGGATTTGCTAAATCTTTTTAATTCAGATAGTGAAAAATTGAAGTTTGATGGCTTCGTATGGTGTACAGTTTGCTGTAATCCTTTTTGTAAGCAAAAGTAACATTCAAAATTTTCTTTTGTCACTCAAATTTAATATCTCATTGCTGCGATATTTTTTATAATCTAGTATGAATATTAAAAACATGGACCTTTTTAGTGGGTAAATATAAGTACATTTGTGAACGTAAGTATATTTTCAACATTTCTTACCCATCATTTATTTCTGAGTTACGATTTAATTTCATGCATTTTTCTTAATTGATATGCCACATAATAGGACAAATGTGAAGATTTTGCATCTATAATGTTCACGATGAAGGTACAATTTTAGTTTATCTTTCCGTTATTTTTCTTGAGTGCATACTGACGTGGCCTTTTTTTCCGGAAATTAAGGTAATAAATAGCTGTGCTATATATTAAAGCCTATCGAATCTCCTAAAGTGGGGACAGAAAGTAAACTACACTCTTTCTAAAGACTCTCATTGGCATTATTGCTTCCATCCATTGAGAGGCAGAATGAAACTGTTTTAATGCAATCAATAACTACACACTTATTTTTCATAACAATTTCTTGAACCCATTTCTCCTACAACTGCAAGGTTTTTTTGACCCCACACTTGAGTATTTCTTAGCGATTTTATTGAAAGGAAACATTTTTCTAAAAGAGCTACAGCATAATATGATGCATTC